CACGTGTCTTTATCAGCAAGAAAAAAATGTGTCATAATACGACGTCAAAGTATTTGTGGTGGGTTTTGGTTAACTCTGTTGTGTTGCAAGATTACCTCTACTGCTTCACCTTCAGTCACACACACACACACACACACCATCACCATACACACACTACACACACACACACCACCAACACACTATCACCATCACCATCACCACACACACACACACACACACTTGCTTCACCCTCAGTCACACACACACACACCACCACCACCGTACACACACAACACCACTACCACTATACATAAACACACATCTGCACGTAATACAACTTCTTAAGGAAACGAACTAGGAAATTTAACAATAGAAAGAATGTTTACAAAAATTGTCTTTAATTTTCCGCGCACTAATTTAGTTCATGTTGTTGTTTTTTTTTACGATATAAAAAATATAATAACTTCCTCGTTCTTTTCCACATAAAATAATTGTTTAGTTATTCTACTGGAATGCTATCGTGATACAAATTTGTTGTCGAAAACAACATAACTAACGCGATTAAGTTGTGTGACATCCTGCTTTTAACCCGGAGCGTCTGGGGTTCAAAATCTGCCTACACCGGGACTATAGAGTAACCTAGATTGGTGCACAGGCTTTTAGTCATGTCTGTTTGCGGATGGAAGAGGAGGGGGGGAAGGAAAATACCACTTCAAACCTGACGATCGATGGGGCAGGTGAAGTAGAGTTCACCTGTTTCTTTTACCTCGGCAGATGAGGGAATATAGTGGGACTTGAACCTGGATTCGAACTCGAGACTTACGGGTTAGCAGTCTAACCCTCTACCGCTAGGCCACTGCTACGGGAAGTTACGAGTTCAGACCTAGGACTTGTCGATCAAGCTCTGACTTAGTTAGGGGAAGTACAGACGGCTAGTCCAAGTGCTGTCCATCTCTTTATACGCCGAGGTCACAGAAACTGATGAAGTTTACTTTAAATGTCCCATGGTTAGGCGAGGTCCTGAAAGGTAACTGTACTTATAATTTGTCCAATATTGATTTCAATGTGAGCGAGATTAAATTTCTTTAGACACGTTTAACGGTGTCACTTCAAGCACACATTGTTGACTCGAGATCATAGTCTGTCACTGAGTCCACCCAGCTTTAATTAGTGCCTGGCTCGATTTGGGGGAAATATAAAATACCGAATATATACCACTGACAACAAACTCTCTTCATATTGATGTAACTAATGGAATAACTTATCAAGGGCGGTTCGAAAATGGAGAGGGGTTTTGGTTTAATGTTGGGGTGGGCGTTTCAGCCTCAGGCGTTACCATAAGATTGGTATCGAACTTTAAACACCCGAATCAATGTGGTAATGTCCGATATCTCCAATAACGTTGAGTATGATTTTACGATTAATAAAAAAAAACTAGGGTTTGCGAAATATAGATGGTATAAAACCTGTTTTTTTTTTTTGTTAGAATCGTAATCGTTGCCCTAGTACTTACCTAAACTATGAAATAATCGTTGACACCATCACTGAGGCTTTACCTTAACAACGATACACCACCCTTCCCACCCCCTTGTTTAATTAACATACATGACACGCCCGACCGGGATCGGAAAACGGTTGCGTAACATAACAGGTGACCTCATAACGACCAAACGACAACCAGCAGATTTGAATACCAGTACATAGAAAAAAAATTCCGGTAGCTGGGAAAAAAATTCGATTCTAGTTAGTTGGTTATGTGAAGCTTCAAGTACAATTACAGCTTGGCGTGTATAATGTTGGTTGGGTGTCAATAAGCTGAAGGGTGGTGGGGAGGAGGGGGAGGGGCAAAAAAATCGAAAACATGCACCGGACGCCTTACACAACGAAAGAAAGCTTTACCCAAGGTAGATGGATCACAGAAATATGTGACGTAGTACACAAGCAAAGGCTGAACAAAACGCCCGAAGCCATGTAAGGAAAGGCGGTTAAAGCATTTAATTTTCGTCAAATTACTATCTGCGACAGTGAAGGGATGTTTCGTTTTCGAAGAAAATTACACGCTGTAATAAATACAGGGCGATAATTCCTGTTACTTAACTCGGTGCAAATAATGTAAGCAAAAGTGAAATTTGTCCAGAAATCGACTACAAGGAAAGCAACTCTCAAAGACCTATCATTACTCTATGTGGGAATGGAAAAAAAAATGTCAGAATTATAAATAACCTTTGAACTTATTATATGAATTAAAGTCTAGTGCGTAGAGAGTAGGCAAAACTTGTATTGAGTTGAACCGTTCCGGGATGTGTAATTATACCGCTGTTTCAACATTTCTGTACTTAGATCAACATAGATCAACACAAGAGGGACGTAGTTAAAATGTGAGATGTTTGTACCAGCTATGAGAAATTATAGTCGTTGTATTGTTTTTCTTCAAATCGTTTTTTTTTTATGATTTGTTGGCAACAACAACAAAAAATAAGGATTACACAAGAACGAAATGTCACAGGAAGTGTAAATTTCAATCTATTTTTAGAGTTTTACAATTGAGTGCAATTGTTCTTCGGATTTCTTGACTCGAGTGGTGTAAGAGATTGCCTCAAACACAATAAAGTATCATAATGTTATGCGCCATTGATTACAATTCATAGTTCCCCATAAAGAACAAACGACAAGGTCACAGTTGTTCGATTTTGGGGTGCAAACTCGAGACTTTTCGATTCAGCAGCCATGAGCTTAACCGACCGACCACGCTGACCCCGTGAGAGCACTGAAGTTGAGTATAATTAATTTGCGCCATGTTTTGTGCGTGCGTCTATGTATTTGTGTTGAAAGTGTCACTACCTGAAGATTGAGGCGGAAAGATGATAGGCAAGTGTTTGATGTTTACGGGTGTTGTGGGGGTGTTGTGGGGGGTGTTATGGGGTGTTGTGGGGGTGTTGTGGGGGTGTTGTGGGGGTGTCGTGTGGGTGTCGTGTGGGTGTTGGGGGGTGTTGTAGGGGTGTTGTGGTGGTGTTGGTAAAAGTAGTACTAAGGCGATGTCTCAAGGGTTGGGTGTAGAGGTAACGTTGATGTTACGGGGGGTGGATGTAGTGCTGCAGGGATGTTGGTGTGGGAGGAGGGAGGGTGGGATGGTTTTAGAGTGGGGGGGTGAGGGTGGATTAGAGTTTAATCCGCCTGGCCACAATACAATAGCTGGTCTTTTTTTTTAAACGCAGCCTATCCAATACCAGATATATCTGTATCTGTAATATCAGTTAATCTTTAACCTTTAATTCTTGCCCCCAAGACGCTTGCATTGTTACCTCCCCTCTCTATAATTAATGGGAATTTAACAAGACAGCTCATTAAAGACGACATGCACACGTTTTGTCAATCCTTCGCATTTTTAATCCCGCCTCCCCCACCCCCACCCCAACTTCTAGCCCTAATCTCATTACACGTGAAACTCATGCACGCTCTTACTCATTAATATTCATGAGCTTGCTCAAGGCCCGTCCGGCGTCCTGTCCGCCACTTAAAATTAACCCGGGGCTAATAAATAACCCCATTTTCTGTTGTGTTCTTTTCTTTCGTTTTTATGACGGATTAAGCAACAAATACCCCCTTGTCCTTTGTCCTTTGATTCTGCGTTCCTAACCCCCACCCCCCCCCCCCCACCCCGACCCCATCCCTCACCTACTCTTCTCTTTCTTCTGTTAGTTTTGTAATACGTTATCTTAGTATTAAAAATAATTTTTTTTTTGCGTTCTTTGTTTGGGAATTCCCGTTGAAAACATAACCGGAGATTTCCTTTTGTTTCAGACTTTCACGTAATCTCCGATGTATAGCGTCGAGACAAGCCTGACTATAGAAACTACGGTTCCAAATGTTTCATGCTAATAAATATTCTAATGAAACTTAGACAAGCTGGGAAATTCGAAACTTTAAAATGAATGCATACAATATTTTCTATTTAAAAAAAAAGCAATCAGTGTTTGTAATACAAATGAGTGATGTAATTAATTCTTTTGTATCAGGCTAGACTAATCTCTTATGAAATCGGGTTTTTTTTTTAATTTTAATTAATTAAACATGTTTATTTTAATTGAAACGAATATAATGTTCATCCATAGACCCGTGGATGTTTTGGTGGCATTCCAGGTACTGGCAATAGCTGAGTTAACTAGGGGGTTGTCTAGCTTATTCAAGTCCTAGAACGCGAGACTTAAGAGCCTGTTATCCAGTATACCTCTTCTTTATCACATCACACAACCCTACTATAGCAGAGAGAAAAAAAATTAAAGAATAAACCTGACACCTTTCATTTTCTTTTAACGTCATCAAAATAAATGTATTTTAATTCAATAAAAATAAGTACTTTATCTTTCAAAACATGATCAACAATGTAATCTTCACAACAAAAAAAAAAAAAAAAAAAAAAATACGTGTATGGAATTTCCCGTTAAAATATGTAAGATGATGTATTTTCCATTTGCAACAAAGTAACGTGTGTGGGAACGGAAACTGTAAGGGGAAAACCCGAGTGCTGCGTCAGGATGGATCCGCCTATTACGTAAAACCCGCTGCGTTTAGTCAGTATGCGTTTGTTTGTGGGTGAGGGTGGGGGGAGGAGGGGGGAGGGTTACTAGAATTTCGAACAATGGTTGAAAACATTTCCTAAAAAATAATGTGAAAAATTAATTACTCCTGAAGTTATATACCATGTTAAATGTTCTTAATACTGATTAACCAATTTTTTTTTTAAAAACAAACCATCACCCCTAACAAATCACCAACCCAACAAACCATCCCTCTAGCATGCCACCACCCTAACAAACAAACCACCCCCTACTAACACCACCCCTAATAAACCAGCACCCCTAACATACAACCCCCGTCACGTCTGAAATACCACCCCACCTAACACGCTAACCCAATCCCCACAAGAAACCACCACCCGTAACCACCACCGCTATAACTTCCCCACCCAAGCCTGTCACCATACACAAACACCTCTTGTACAACCACATCACTACCACCAGTTTCTCACCCTCATCAACCAGTGCCAACTACAACCACATCCCTACCACCAGTTTCTCACCCTCATCAACCAGTGCCAACTACAACCACATCACTACCACCAGTTTCTCACCCTCATCAACCAGTGCCAACTACAACCACATCCATACCACCAGTTTCTCACCCTCATCAACCAGTGCCAACTACAACCACATCCATACCACCAGTTTCTCACCCTCATCAACCAGTGCCAACTACAACCACATCACTACCACCAGTTTCTCACCCTCATCAACCAGTGCCAACTACAACCACATCCATACCACCAGTTTCTCACCCTCATCAACCAGTGCCAACTACAACCACATCCATACCACCAGTTTCTCACCCTCATCAACCAGTGCCAACTACAACCACACCCCTACCACCAGTTTCTCACCCTCATCAACCAGTGCCAACTACAACCACATCACTACCACCAGTTCCTCACCCTCATCAACCAGTGCCAACTACAACCACATCACTACCACCAGTTCCTCACCCACATCAACCAATGCCAACTACAACCACATCACTACCACCAGTTCCTCACCCTCATCAACCAGTCCCAACTACAACCATATCCCTACCACCAGTTCCTCACCCTCATCAACCAGTGCCAACTACAACCACATCCATACCACCAGTTTCTCATCCTCATCAACCAGTGCCAACTACAACCACATCCATACCACCAGTTTCTCACCCTCATCAACCAGTCCCAACTACAACCACACCACTTCCACCAGTTTCTCACCCTCATCAACCAGTGCCAACGACAACCATACTCACACAGGTGGTGATGGCTTTTGTTTTTAAAAAGTAATTCTTGTCTTAGCTTTCTTTTAAAGACCCCCACACCACGTCTTCAATATCTACACACCGCAGCAAACACGTCAAGAATGTGGGGAGGGCTTGGTAGCTGTTGGCACACTCTTTGATTGGATCACAGGCTGATTATCTTAATGAGTGATAATTAGTCCTGTGCGAAAGAGTTGAACCAAGTGCTCATGATTTTTAGGCAGTTTACGGTATTTGTTAACGATGTGCGGCCTAGCCTGCATACCCATCGACTTACCCCTGTGACGATAGGATGTTCAGATTACCGTAAAATCCTGAATAAGCTATCTAACAAGTTAAACTGCAACCCAAATATTTTCACCCATCTGTTCGACCCCAACGCACTCTCTTAACAAAGCATCGTGTCTGTTAATTTATTAAAGTCCTGCTTTACGAGCTGTTTTGAACAGCTGACCAATAAAAATGCTTGATCTGAACCGATGATAAAAAAAAGTTCGCAAAGGAAATTTCCGCAACAGATAATTGCGCACAAAAAACAGTTCGTATGTAATTTTTTTATAAAACGGTAATTTAAGGACATTTCTAAAATGTCCACAAATAAAACGTAGCGTACATAACATCTTTCCATGAAATACGACTAAATGAAACCGTATCATTACAATAAGTTTAAATTTCCGCATTTTTCCTTTTGCGCAGATTTCGGTTGCGCATTTTTTGATGCGCATATTTCTGGGAACTACTGCCTCAACTTTGATAACCATTTATCTACCCACATCTCCCCTTTCAATCCTCATCCGATGTCCTTTAAGGGGGGGGGGGGGGATATGCATCTTAAACGGATACAGTTCTTGTAAAAGGATCTTCGTAGAGGCCTCGCGTAGTTCCCACTTAGGGGCTCAGCTTAAGCTTAATCCAGCCATTCCCCCTAAGTGTCCTACCACGATCACATCTCCCCCATGCTCTTATTAAAACCATCCTAATCCCCCCCCCCCCCGTCCTACCTAATCTGCGTACACCATAGCACAATCGGCGAAAAAAAAATGTATCGTCTTTAATTCCCCCCCCCCCCCCCACCTAACGGTATTCTCACCGACGATCTAAAAATAAATTCCCTGAATGCCAAATTGAAAACGGGTGATGTGTATAAGCACTTAGAACGAGGAAAAGGGGGGGGGGGGGGGGGGGGAAATGAGACAGTGGTTGGGGGTGGGGGTGGGGGAGGGGATCCAGGTATTAACACCACGTGATGTATGAGCCAGTCTCTGCTCGTGCTACCTGCTAATCGCGGCACGTCAATGTTATGTACGTCGTCATGTATTGCAGGGATTCTCACCTTATATACATATTATATACATATTATATACATATTATATACATATTATATACATATTATATACACACATTATATATATATATATATATATATATATATATATATATATATATATATATATATATATATATATATATACATATATATATATAATAACAGCCATTGGACAGGTAACGTAGAGTTTCATGATCACAGCATATGAAGGAATGGTGTGGTCAGTACTTTCCCTATCGTAAGTTAGGTACCCATCAAAACTGGATGGACTCAGTCACAAGCCCGTGAAAAGATCCGAACTCGAAACCTTCAGGCTACCCGCCGAACACTCTACCATTCGACCACGCCGCCAATAAGAGACCCAGAAAGATAAAACAACCCAGCTGTAAGACTAATTCTATTCGGTGTAAAAAAAAAAAAAAAAAGGTTAATGTCTTCATGCTCGGGTTTACTTAAGACCAAAAAAATCAGTTTCAAGATTTAAAAATTGACAAGTTCTAATTTGTAGGGACTTGTGTGAATATATTTTCACGTACTCACCGAAAATGTAATACTGGGGTTTAAAATTGTGATACTGTGAGAACCGTCTGAAACAGCGAGCTCCCGGGTCAGGAACGAACTGTTTCCGTTTTGGCGTTGGCTGAGGACATGCGAACGAGGCTGTGAATTTAGATGAGAAATTTCTCGAGTCGTTACCCACAATTAGAGTAGAGGGTGTGTGTGCTGGGGGGGGGGGGGGGGGGGGTAGACCGTGGGGGGGGGGGGGGGGCGAGGGTTGGGTAGCTCAAGAGATCAGAAGTCATTAAGATGAAGTGAGTGGGGGGGGTGGGGGGGGGGTGGCTTATGTTGAGGATTAAGTCGAAGATAGGATAGGCTTTTGTTGATTATGTCACACGTTAACAACTGACTTCTCACTGACACTTGGACTACTGACATGTCGTTTATTTTACTTCATAGTGACATGTCATAGTTTCCTTATTGTCATTTCTTGTATAAATGACTAGCGGTTTTTTTTTAATGTGGCTAACTGACGTGTCTTAAGTCCTTAATGCCATTTATTTCTGATTTAATCACTTGTCATCCTCATATATCACAGTACAAATGATAATCCTAATAGCACTCCTATTTCTGTTATATTAATAGAAAAAATAAATTAATGCCAATTGGCAAAATATGTCAAAATGTTTTGAAAACTTTTGTAAAATACTTCAGTAGTTTCCATAAAGTTACGGTTAGAAAAATATACATCTGTTTTTGTAATTGTCTTGTATAATTAATTAACTAGTAGTCCATAAAATTATTTTCTTGTACATTTTTTGCTTTCAGACGACCGCAAATAAAATCTTAACTTTACTTTATTGTTTCTATTTTATAAATCATTAATAAACATGATAAACTTCATAGCCTTAATATTATATTGCAGTTATTTCATGGCATTATTATTCTAGATCAAATTAATCACACAATCACACATTAAATATCACGACTGACTTAACCCCCCTCCCCCTTCCCCCCCTCCCCCCCCCCCCCCCTCACCCCACAAGTCAAATTAATCACACAATCATATCACGACTGACCAACCCCCCATTAACCTGTCTCCTCTGACTAAAATAAAAAGGGCGCACACACAAGGGAGCGAATTCCTCCAAATTTTATCGTCACGAATTAAGGATCCTCTGCACAGCAGTCGACATTCGGGAACCAGCAGACGCTCCATACGCTCCCGCAGACGGCATTTCAGACATTCACCCTGGGCTCCGGCAGGTATTCGTCTGCAAGGTCAGGCTTAGGTATCGTCTGTTTCTGTTGTTAGGGGTGTAACGTAAGATTATTGTACATTCATTGCACATCGGTCTCATCAACGGCAATCTATTGTCGTTGTTAAATGGTTTTTTGGGGTTTTTTGTCAACAATAAAAAAAAAATATTTAAATCTTGATGTGTTACAGTAGACCCTTAGATTATGAAGTGTGTCAAGTTGAAGAATAGTAAGTGATTATGATTAGCCGTACCCATACTATAAAACCAGTGTCATTGTGCTTGCATAGAAATTGGGGCTTTGTTTTAATGTAAGGAGAATCAAGGGCCTGCTGGGCTTACGTGGGCTCATGTTAAGAAAGCTGCCCAAAACAAGAGTCCGGTGGAGAGGCGTGGCTACAACCCAATTGCTCCTCATGGGCTACATAAGGGGTTATCCATTTATGACGTCCACAATTTTTTTTTTGGATTTTGGACACCCCCCCCCCCCCCCCCCCACCATCCTGATAAATTACCTGGCAAGGACTAATCAACAGGCTGGATTTCCCCTCTCCCCACCCCCACCAATAGTACCCTATTGAAAGCGACACACCTGGATTTTGTGGACGGATGTCCACAAAAATCCACTTTTTTTCCTTATACAAGTCCATATGCGTCCACAAAAGTCAGTTTTTTTCGGACCCCCCCCCCCCCCCACGCGTGTGGACGTCATAAATGGATGACCCCTAAGAATAAATCACGTCAGCGGCACTGCAATGATATTTAGGGTTTATCATCATTTTTACCGTTCGTGGCCAAGACACGTGAGGTAGGTAAAGTAGAGTGCATCCTCTTCAGTGACCTCGGCATATGAAGCGATAGTGTGGTCAGCACTATGCCCGGCCGCCTTTGTTTTCCCCCAAACGTGAGTTCACCACCCATCAGCTTTGGGTGGACAGAGGGACATTCTACAGGCTTGAAACTGGATTCGAACTCGAGGCTTTCGGGTTAGCAGTCTAGCTCTCAATCTCTGGGGTTAGCGTTAATGAAAGCGTTTGGGTTAGTAAGTGGGTTGAATTCACTAGATGAGTACTAAGGTTTGGCTTGATCGATTTTATTTTGGTATTGCGAAATAGGATACAGAAAATGCGTTTCATAAACCTCACTGATAAAATGAATCACCTGATTTTAATAAAAACCTTATTATTTATGCAAGGTAAAAACGTATTTTTACAATTGAAAACAAAAGGTTCATCACTAAAGTTTTATTCATTCGAACTAACCGGGACAGCTATCTCGATCAAGAACAGTGTTAAATATTCAAACCTATTTTTTGGAAATTACAAAATAATTTTCTGTCCGACTGGTTTAAGCTAGGGGTAAGCAATAACAAATGTATTTTGTGACCAATGCCGTGTGATGGTACTAATTAAGATATAATCAGTGATTAATTTTGAGCAGATACGGGTCGACTAAAAGAACGACGTCAAAGCCATGCTTGCGTAGGTTGTTTTATTTTAATCAATTCTTTTTAAATAGTAGAGTGTGATGTGTAGAGATTGATTTATTCAACCTTGTTGTAAATCTCTTACAGACGGCGTGGTAGAGTGGTAGAGCGAAGGGTTGGCAACACGGAGAGAGTGGTGTTCCATTACTGACTGACTGCAATCTGGCAGAGACGCCTAATCTTTATTTCTATATTATGCATACATCACACATTAGCCACAAACAAACAGAAATGCTCGGGGTTATACATTGATGAAGTCAACCAGAAAACTATTTTATCCCCAACTTAACCCCCCCCCCCCCCTTTACTCAGTGTGCACTTCTGCAAAAAAAAATACATTTATTTTAATAACGTCGTGTTATTTCTTGTGGATATACCTTTTGGATAGAGTGATTTCTCGATGATATCGATTCGTTACTCGTAAATATCAACGCGTTATTTATCATAGAAACCATCAAGTCATTTCTCATTGATATCGAGTCAATTTACGTTCTTATCACCAAGTCATTTATCAAGACTTCCTAAATGCGTTTATTTTTTCCTTTTCTATTATTGCTTACAATTTCCGACCCAGACCCTGCAGGGGTCAGATACTATTTCAAGGTGACCCGTCCAGTACAGCCTGCCAGATTTTTATGGTGTGTACCTGTAGGCTCAACCACCAGGTGTCTCGCTTTATTGGGAGGTTTTATGGTGGGGGTGGGGGATTTGTCCTTGCCAGGTAATTTATCAGGATGGTGTTTGTTTCGGGTTTTGTTGTATATATGGCGCTTGGCAGATTTGTAGGGTTGGTTGGTAGTTAAGGTTACAGTTAACACCCGTGCTGGTTTTAGAGAAATTATGGGGGGGGGGGGTAATCTAGAGGTGTAGTACATTTGGGTTTGGGGTGGGTGGTAGCAAAGTTTATGGTTAACATTAGCTACTGGTTTTAGGGAAATGAGACAGAGGGTGGGGGGGGGGGGGGGTTGTAGATGTTAGGTACTTTTAGCTTTGGGGTGGGCGGTAGTAAAGATTAGAGTTAACATTAGGTGCTGGTTTTAGGGTAATGAGAAGGGGGATGGGTAGTGTACAGTTTTAGTACCTGTAGGTTTAGATTGGAAGGTAGTAAATGTTACAGTTAACATTAAGTGCTGGTTTTAAGGAAATAGTAATAAACAGTGAAAACCTCATAAATTAAAGACAATTACAGGTATAATATACGCTTCGACCCCAAGGGTCCATTGTACCTCTAATCGTATTTAATAACCCGTTTTATTACTAATTACATTAACCTCAAAGCGGAAACCATTTGTGTTTATTGGTTTTTTTTGGGAAATGGAAGGGGGATTTAGTGTAACGTTGTAGTACATTTAAAAAGAAAGTAAACTATTTGTTTCAGATACAAATTGTTTGGAGGAGTTGGATTGGCACTTCGTTTGGAAGTGTTGACAGTGGTTTGCAGTTGTATTAAAACAAATATGGAAGGTAGTGACATAAACAGTGAAAATAAAGTGGTGACTCCACTCTCAATCAAAATACATGTCTAATAGACCTCCACCTTATTAAAGTAATTAAGCAAGGTTTCGAAATTCTTTCTTCGTCCGTGTCAAAACAAAAGCCAAACAAAAAATAATTTTATATCAAATTTTAGGACTATGTTGTAAAATCTGCTACGTGGTGTTATGCAGGTAGAGATAGGACGCTTCACTTCTTCCATTTATAAATGCTGGCCCCTGAATACACGCCACGCGCAGTGGTAACTACATCATCATAGACGTCATTAGGGACGGCGTGGCCTTGCGGTAAAGAGCTAACCCGAGAGTTCTAGAGTTCGAATCCGGATTCAAATCAGTTGAACATCCCTGAGTCCACCCAGCTTTTATTGGTACCTAACTCGCGTTAAGAAAATAGAAAGGCAGCTGGGAAGAGTGCTGACCACGATTTCCTTTCATATGCCGTGTTCTTTGAAGTAGATGAACTCTACTTCATCTGCCCCAAGTGTCTTGGGTTCAACGAGAAATGATGATGATGATGATGATGATGATGATGATGATGATGATGATGATGATGATGATGATGATGATGATGATGCTGATGATGATGATGATGATGATGATGATGATGATGATGATGATGATGATGATGATGATGATGATTATGATGATGATTATGATGATGATGATGATGATGATGATGATGATGATGATGATGATGATGATGATGATGATGATGATGATGATGATGATGATGATGATGATGATGATGATGATGATGATGATGATTATGATGATGATTATGATGATGATGATGATAGACGTCATTGTTCAGTCATGTATAAATGCCGACCTAATTTTTTACGTGTCCAGAAGTCTAACAAAACATAATCTCAAACAAACAATGAAATTGTAAAACTGAATTATTCTACCACGCATACAAATAAATTACACACATAAACACATATATATATATATATATATATATATATATATATATATATATATATATATATATATATATATATATATATATATGTTTGTGTATGTATGTATACCCATTACTTGTTACTTAATACAGATCTGATGACAAAACTACTTGTCACGAAGGAACTAATGTTATCTGAACGACATAACAAATTAACAAAAGGTATTAACACATCAGCTGAGTGTTATGTTACCGACTTTTTTTTTTAAACCTTTGTTTCAATGGTTTATTTATTTTTCTTTCGTTTTTTTTTTTACGCTGGGTACACCAGAGTTAATGCCCTTGTCAACCCTAATTAAAGAAGAAAAATGGAGGCAGACAGACAATCGCAGCAGGTCAAGATGACCTCCGCTAATCCGAGCTACACGGTGAGCGTGTCAGGTGTTCTCAAAGTCTGGACGTCAGGTGTTCTCAAAGTCTGGACGTCAGGTGTTTTAAAGTCTGGACGTCAGGTGTTCTCAAAGTCTGGACGTCAGGTGGTTTCAAAGTCTGGACGTCAGGTGTTCTCAAAGTCTGGACGTCAGGTGTTCTCAAAGTCTGGACGTCAGGTGTTCTCAAAGTCTGGACGTCAGGTGGTTTCAAAGTCTGGACGTCAGGTGTTCTCAAAGTCTGGACGTCAGGTGTTCTCAAAGTCTGGACGTCAGGTGGTTTCAAAGTCTGGACGTCAGGTGTTCTCAAAGTCTGGACGTCAGGTGTTCTCAAAGTCTGGACGTCAGGTGTTCTCAAAGTCTGGACGTCAGGTGTTCTCAAAGTCTGGACGTCAGGTGTTCTCAAAGTCTGGACGTCAGGTGTTCTCAAAGTCTGGACGTCAGGTGGTTTCAAAGTCTGGACGTCAGGTGTTCTCAAAGTCTGGACGTCAGGTGGTTTCAAAGTCTGGACGTCAGGTGTTCTCAAAGTCTGGACGTCAGGTGGTTTCAAAGTCTGGACGTCAGGTGTTCTCAAAGTCTGGACGTCAGGTGTTCTCAAAGTCTGGACGTCAGGTGTTCTCAAAGTCTGGACGTCAGGTGGTTTCAAAGTCTGGACGTCAGGTGTTCTCAAAGTCTGGACGTCAGGTGTTCTCAAAGTCTGGACGTCAGGTGGTTTCAAAGTCTGGACGTCAGGTGTTCTCAAAGTCTGGACGTCAGGTGTTCTCAAAGTCTGGACGTCAGGTGTTCTCAAAGTCTGGACGTCAGGTGTTCTCAAAGTCTGGACGTCAGGTGTTCTCAAAGTCTGGACGTCAGGTGTTCTCAAAGTCTGGACGTCAGGTGGTTTCAAAGTCTGGACGTCAGGTGTTCTCAAAGTCTGGACGTCAGGTGGTTTCAAAGTCTGGACGTCAGGTGTTCTCAAAGTCTGGACGTCAGGTGGTTTCAAAGTCTGGACGTCAGGTGTTCTCAAAGTCTGGACGTCAGGTGTTCTCAAAGTCTGGACGTCAGGTGTTCTCAAAGTCTGGACGTCAGGTGGTTTCAAAGTCTGGACGTCAGGTGTTCTCAAAGTCTGGACGTCAGGTGTTCTCAAAGTCTGGACGTCAGGTGGTTTCAAAGTCTGGACGTCAGGTGTTCTCAAAGTCTGGACGTCAGGTGTTCTCAAAGTCTGGACGTCAGGTGTTCTCAAAGTCTGGACGTCAGGTGTTCTCAAAGTCTGGACGTCAGGTGTTCTCAAAGTCTGGACGTCAGGTGTTCTCAAAGTCTGGACGTCAGGTGGTTTCAAAGTCTGGACGTCAGGTGTTCTCAAAGTCTGGACGTCAGGTGGTTTCAAAGTCTGGACGTCAGGTGTTCTCAAAGTCTGGACGTCAGGTGGTTTCAAAGTCTGGACGTCAGGTGTTCTCAAAGTCTGGACGTCAGGTGTTCTCAAAGTCTGGACGTCAGGTGGTTTCAAAGTCTGGACGTCAGGTGTTCTCAAAGTCTGGACGTCAGGTGTTCTCAAAGTCTGGACGTCAGGTGTTCTCAAAGTCTGGACGTCAGGTGTTCTCAAAGTCTGGACGTCAGGTGTTCTCAAAGTCTGGACGCCAGGTGGTTTCAAAGTCTGGACGTCAGGTGTTCTCAAAGTCTGGACGTCAGGTGTTCTCAAAGTCTGGACGTCAGGTGTTCTCAAAGTCTGGACGTCAGGTGGTTTCAAAGTCTGGACGTCAGGTGTTCTCAAAGTCTGGACGTCAGGTGTTCTCAAAGTCTGGACGTCAGGTGTTCTCAAAGTCTGGACGTCAGGTGTTCTCAAAGTCTGGACGTCAGGTGTTCTCAAAGTCTGGACGTCAGGTGTTCTCAAAGTCTGGACGTCAGGTGTTCTCAAAGTCTGGACGTCAGGTGTTCTCAAAGTCTGGACGTCAGGTGTTCTCAAAGTCTGGACGTCAGGTGTTCTCAAAGTCTGGACGTCAGGTGTTCTCAAAGTCTGACCGCACAATGTCAGGTGTACTCAGAACCTGTTTTTGACGCTCAGGGTTTTTAAAATTCTGATTTAACAATTTCCTTGCTAACATCATTTATAAGACAGATGGAGTTCGTGGGGAAGGGTATGAGTGACTCTTTAGAGAAATAGTAAATGACGTAATGGGTGACGTAACGAATAGGTTTGTGACGTAAAGGTGACGCAGAAAGTTGTTGACGTAACGGAAGGGAAAAGACAGACGACAGGAGGACGTAAATACTTTCTAGTTAATTAGTAAAAGCTTCTTCTTTCGCGTGTTTACCTCTAAAAATACCACCACGAAACACTTGAAGAACTAGTGTCCTTCAGTGTCTACTCACATCCGTGTACAATCGCATTCAAATAAACCATCACCACACAGACTTGTGTAGGAAACTCTTCTATAAAATATTTAAGCTACAGGCAAAGACGCTCCCAAAGCGTCAATACTCAGTCAGTACTTAAACTCAGATGAGAGCTATTTCTACCCAGATGAGAGCTATTTCTACCAAGACGCCGTTGGTCATTATTCTCACTGATCGCACCTCAGACCATCCAGTAATGTCTTTCAAGGATGTTCTGTGAGTTAACAAAATGTTGATGCACAAACCAGGGGTTCTTAACTTCTCGGCCCTGGGGAACATTTAGTGAGTAGGTTGGGGAGAAAGGAGGCGTTGCTTAAAACAATAACTTCTTCCGACATTCCAAAATAAAAATTTGTATTTTCTGTTCAGAGCACGAATGCAAATCCATGGCCCTCAATTATGTCGTACTTGAGTCCACTCAGCTCTGATGAGTACCTGACTCAAGATAACGGCTCGGCATAGAACTAACCACACGTTGAGGTCACAGAAACAAGTCAACTCTACTTTAGCTACCTTGTTGGTCCTTTCGTTTACAAGGGAAATAATTGTCGTGTCATCAATGTGTACATATAAGTCATCGAGGTTTCTTTTAATATAAATCATTACAGAGAACTAGCTCTTGACACTTCTCGGTGATCAGTCATTGACTTTGTACCCTACAGGAGATAGTTTGAGAACTTTTGTTTTTAGCAGTTTGTATTCACTACTGGAGTACTCATATAGCTGATGCACTAGCGGACTGCTAAATTATGTATTGGGAACTCCAGGCTCTAAAACCTTGTCCGAGTGTCCGGCACTTACCAACAAACATTTGTCTTAGAGCTGCCTACACCTAATGTGTGAGCGATACGTGTCACCGTCTCCGTGTCCGTCTATTGCAAGCTTCTCCGCACGGCTTTCAAAATTTTATTTTGTCATCCACTAGGAATAGGACCTATT